CTGTTGGCACAGTGGATGCCCAATGTTGTTGAATAAATAAGCAACAGAATGTTTTTTAAGATTATTTCACCTGTAAAAGAATTTATTAAGCATGATTCAGTATAAATGTACATCAAGTTCTCTAGAGCACCAAAACTGACTTCTTTCTGAATTTGAGGACAGATGACAGAATAACCAGATCATAATCACTAAAAGAGAACCTAAGATACTTATGTTTAAGGAGATGAGGTGTTATATCCTATTTTGTCACAATCGTCAAATTTTAAACATAAAACACAGTACAGTACATAGCACATGCCTTCCAAGACCTAAGGTTTGAAATGAAAACCACTATAGAAGAGTGATTGATAACAGTATCATCTCAGACTATACAAAACACTATAGAAAATTTACCCACAAAACTGAAAATACTAAGTTTAAGTAATTTTGCCATCAAAGAACCAATACTTTAATAACCAAACCCACCTTCTATTACTTGCAAACAAAAATATGGTTTACCTGCATAAGTAGCACAAAGTTATAGCTATACTCGAGAGAGAACTGCATTTTCTATTCCGTATCAATGAAATCTCCTTAACTATTAATTTCCTCAACCTAGTAATTATGCACAGAGAAGGCAAATGTTTCTCAACATTTGATCACACTGAGTAAAACTAACTCTTCCTAGGAGACATAAAAGAGAACCAGAAGATGCAGAGTATTTTTTAAAAGTAAGCAAAGCCTGAGAAGCTAGTTGACAATCAGAGGCAGAAAGCCACTGGGTACACTCTGAATTTCTTTAGAAGCTTTTAAAAGCACAATCAATATTGTATATTTATCTCAAACAATATTCATTTAAGTGATATAAGATCTTATAGTGGGGAAAATATAGATGTCTTAATTATCTTAGTGAAAGGTAATTTAGAAGTGAAACCTGTATTTTGGTAAATTTGGGGAAATTAAGCCTGAAAATAGTTATTGAGTTTATTTGAATTTTTCTCAACCTCCTACCACAGAGAGCTGAAGGCAGGGTAATACCTGAAGGTACTAGCATTATACAAAAGAAATGAGGCTAACTTTTTAAAAGTTGAATATCTGAATGAACATAGAAGGTACACTAATAAGATCCAGGGAAACATGGAAAATAAATTTTAAATGCTTACAACAAAAACCCAAAAGTAATTCTCAAAATCAGAAATGGCTTTTTAACCTGTGAACTGTCTCCAAACACCTGTTTTAAATTCATAACTTATCATTAGGAAACACATTTGAGGCCCTTAATATATAGGTTCAAACAGCAACAAGAATCTCAAAATTAACTAAGCCAAATAAAGTGAAATCTTTACTTAAAAAGGTGAAAGTTCCTTTCTTGGGAAAATGTCTTGAATTTCCCTCACAATTAATAAAGCATCAGGCAGACTATATTCATAAATTCATTCTCGTATTATTAGCCCCTGGAGTCCAATTTTTAGATGCTCCTGTCAGCATCTTATTTCTACAATAACTAGTTCAGGAATCAAATAAATAGAAATAATAAATTTTCATGACATAACCATACAGCAATGTCTGCAAGCTAGAAATATTACTGCCACCTGTTATTTTACATAGAGCAATTGTTTAAAATAAATATATGTGAAAGTTTCAACAAAAAAAGGCTACTCACCACCATCCCTCTCTCTAACTCTGTGAATATGCACATTTTTGGCCTTACTGTGACCTGTGCTGTCACTGTATTTGTTTTCAGGACTATCAGATCTCCGCAACATTTTATTTGGTGGTGAAGGATCTGCGGCGTCTCGCATTTTCTCATGTCTGTGATCACCGCTACTGGGGTGACTTTTCGATGAATACTTAAGTGCCTGTAAAACATCACCCCCCCAAAAAGAGACAAAAAATTGAAACTTTAAACTTAGTTTTCTAAATTCATTTTACTGTAAAATTTTTTGTTTTAACTTAAGTTTTATGAATTTATATCAATAAAATTAAAATTTCCATTTTTAATTATGCCCTTAAGTTATTCAGACAAGGCCTAAGTAAATGCCTAACAGTTATTATAAAGCTCCTCATACAAATCATACCACCTTATGTTAAAAAAAAAAGGGACCAGTCCATAAAGTATCTTATAAATAAATGAAATCAAATACCTTGATACATTAATTCCTCAATAAATTTTTCTGGGAATTAAAAAGTAAATCTAAAGAAAAGTAAAAACTGAGTACTATTGTAATCTACTTCCACTCTACAACTGATGCAAAGATGAAAGTATAATGAGCTTAATTAAAGATGTTTCTGCAAAGCTACAAAAAAGGAAAAGCATCGGTTTCTCCAATTCTCCTACTCAAAAAGGATTTCAATCCTCCCTTACCTACCGACAGGTGTGGGAAACAATTTCAAGGTATAAAAAAAAGTTGGCTGATATTTCTAACACAATGAAACTTAATGAACTACTTCAAAATAATGGCTTAATTTTATCCTATCGCATACTTAAGACAACCATGATAGACCAGTCTTTTACAAGTGTAACTAATTATGTTTTTGAGCAGCAGATTTAGTAGGGTTTAATCTTTGATATTCAAATATAATGGCCAATAGTTTACAAATCAGGGGATTCAGGGTTTTTAACTTGAGCTTTAACTTGGTCCAGCCAGTTAACTATCAGCTTAGAAACCTGCTCTCCTATCCCTGAAGTGACTAAATGTAAACGGACGATACTTCTAGTGTCATCTGATAGTTCATAACCATTTATGAGATTTTTTCCCCCTCTAAAAACAGGCGCCACCTGTATCGCAATTTTTTAAAACTTTACATGCAGCAACTGCAATAACAAAAAGAAACTTACATCCCTAGAACCATCGACATTAGAATGAGTTATCCAAGTATCCAAAGATCTCAATTCCTACAGAACCAAAAGCACTATCTTTCACTAACTAGTAAGGCAACTGTTTGCACCAAAAACAATTAACTTGGGAAGGGACAGTGGTTTACAACACACTTAGAGTTGCAAAACAATTAGTTGTTTCTTCCCAGGCCCTTCATCTAATTTTAGTACCTTAACATTAACTTTTATTTCCCCAATACAATACAATACAATACATGTGGTTCAGAAGACACCTATCACCTTACCCCAACGATTCTTTCATACCAAATAATCGAGTCAGGTCATTTCTGATTGGGAATGATTTTTTTTTTTCCTTAAAAAACTGAACTTCCTCAACTCACCTGTCAAAATAAGTCACTAAACCTTGCTAGGGAGCGCTAAAGGACCCAACCACAACATTTTAAGTAAACCAGCGGTGCTAGTTTCGGATTTGTTGCACCGAAAGGCCTGTAGCGACTTCTGAAGCCTGCGCTCGAGTACTAGGTCCTCCCTTCCCCCTCCGTCCCCGCATCCACCCCTCCTCCCCGGTCTGGGCTGGTACCTGGTAAGGCTGCGAGTCCCCCCTCCGGTCGTGACAGCTGAAAAACAGGAAGAGAGTCGGCGACATGAAACATCTCGATGAGAAGGAGGAAAACGGGTGCCCCCCCAGGGCCCCTCCCCGCGGGACACCTACCAAAGGAACCGGCGGTGAGCCCGCACACGCACACTCGCCCTTTTAAAGGCGGTGACGAGGGCGAAACGCCGCGAACCAGCCCTGCGCTCCCTCCACACTCACTCCGGCCTCGCCTGCTCGCGCGGCCGCTCCTCCTCCCCAGTCCGATCCGGATCAGGGTTAACAACAAAAATGGCGGCTCAGCCAGCAGCAGATAAGGAGGAAAGCCTCCCCCCCCGCCCGCACCGCGGCCCAGCCAGAAACAAAAAGCCAATTTACCCATCACTAAGTCTCTGCTGTTTCCTCGCATACTTTACCATCAATGCACAACCTGTGAGTGTGTGTCGGGGGAGAGGGCAGGCAGGCGGGCGGGCGGCAGCACCGGCACCAGGGTCCGGCGCGCCCCCGGCGACTCTCAGCACCTCCCGGTTTCTGGCGCCTGCGCTCCCGGGCCATCTCCCTCCGACACTACCATGCTCACTCTCAGTCCGGGGAGAGGCGCCACCTACACGGCAGAAGCGGCCAACCCGGGGAAGGGGGGCAATAAGAAGCGCCTGCTCAGCCCCGCGGAGAGCGACTGCCTCCTCCGCCTTCACCGACTCCTGCAACGCCGCCTCCTGCNACCGCGGCCCAGCCAGAAACAAAAAGCCAATTTACCCATCACTAAGTCTCTGCTGTTTCCTCGCATACTTTACCATCAATGCACAACCTGTGAGTGTGTGTCGGGGGAGAGGGCAGGCAGGCGGGCGGGCGGCAGCACCGGCACCAGGGTCCGGCGCGCCCTCGGCGACTCTCAGCACCTCCCCGTTAGTGGCGCCGGCGCTCCCGGGCCATCTCCCTCCGACAACACCACGCTCACTCTCAGCCCGGGGAGAGGCGCCACCTACACGGCGGAAGCGGCCAACCGGGGAAGGGGGGGCAATAAGACGCGTCCTGCTCAGCCCCGCGGAGAGCGACTGCCTCCTCCGCCTTCACCTACTCCTGTTCCGCCGCCTCCTGCCCTCCTCTCCCCCTGCCGCCGCCTGGCCCTTCTCCTCCTCCGCCTGCCGCCGCCGGTGCCGCCGCTGCCGCTCCACCAACTACATCCGGGCAACTCCGAGGCTGCGGCCTTCGGCAAACCTCGGCAGTTTCCGCTGCGCCCCTCCTCTACCACCCTCAGCCCTCCTCCCTTCCCCGCGCAGTTCCGGAAGGCCGCCTTCGGCAAACCTCGGCTCGCTTCGGTTTTCCTCTTCCTTTGAGGCCTGGCTCGCCGTCAGTTCTTTCCGGTTGCTGCTGCTTTTCCTCGCTCTCACGTCCGGCCACTGCCGTTCCAGTTTAAGAAGAGTCCTGCCTGGGGACCCGCTCGAGGCTGGTCCCAGGGGCCCCGGGGTGCGTAGGGAGGGAGCCGCCTCCGGGAAGAGGACGGTGGGGCGCGAGAGAAGCCATATCGGACAAGGAAGGGAGGCTGGGGCTACTGCGCGTGCGCCGAGACCGGGGCGGGGAGGGAGAGGGCGCCCTAGGGGAGCCCTGTGGGTGCCCCCCCCCCTCCGGGCTTGGCCGGGGTGGTCGCAAATCCGTCCGTGGGCGACCTGTTACCCCGGAGCTTCCCCAGTGAGCAGCGACCGAAGCTGCCGTCATGGAGGTGGGGAGCCCGCGACTGCTCACTCAGGCCCTTTGCTTGGAGCGGGAACCGGGCCTGAGCACCAGCCTCTAACCCGACGCTTAGCGCGCCACCGGCCTGCGACGGGCACGGGCTGCTTGGAGCTTGCGCGCGGCATGTTAGAAGTAAGTCACATCTCCAGAAGCGAGCTTTCCCGGCGAGGAGTGACGAATGTGAAGGTTTTAGGGATAATTTGTAGAGGACAACAAGGCCGTGTGCCTACGCCATGTAAAGTGGAGATTCTGAGACTGAGCAGGAAGCCCCGCTGGGGCAGTGAATTAAAAGGTGGATAAGCCTGGAGTTTTAGGAGAATGGGTGACCTGGAAAAAGTGTTGAACCCACTCATCCTGCTTAAGATTTTCCACCCCCAGCCTTGCCTAATCCACCCTCTCCTTTATTTACCATTTTTCTCCTAGTTCATTTTTGGAGGTTCGGAGTGTGAATCAAAGCCTATGTTGGGTTAAATGAAATTGCTACAAATTTAATTTTACAGACTGCTACAGGCACGGTAGCAACACTGGCATGGGGGCGGGGGCAGGGTCAAGTATACCAAAAAAATTAAGTCTTATTTGAGGGTGGTGGTATTCAGGTGATTTTTTTCGTGCTCTTAAACTCCTTTTGCAACAGTAATAAAAAAGGATTGTAATACACATGAAGTAAAAGTACAATTATTTTCATAGAAGAAAAAAGCAAAATAGTAAACAAATTGGAGGAAACAAGACCTCTCCAAAAAACAATATAAAAACTAACTGGTTTATTTGGTATCCAACAAGTTACCTTATTTTAGGACCTAATGAAGAGATGGAATGATATGAGGAAAGGACTCTGAGATCACAATTGAATAAGAATAATTACATAATTTGTCACATCCACCAGCCAAATGTTAAGATAATTGCTGTTTGTGAGGATTAGTAAAAGCCTACTTAATGCTCACTTAAGCTGTCAGTAACTAAAGAAAAAACTGCCAATGACTGAAATGAGAAAACTAGAGTCTTACATAATTTCTAACACTTGTAACAAATACATTGAAGACAGGAGACATCACATTAGAGAAGCACAAAAGGTAACGTGTAAACCTTATGCAGAAAACTTTGAAAACTGGCAGCAAAATGTGTTTCTTGTTTGATAATCAGATGTCTGCTCACATTGATATATATATATATACCATTTGATCAAAAGCAGCAAAACTGGGCTGATCTATGGAGAATACAGTTCCAGGCAATGTACAGTCAGTCTTCATCATTCACAGATTCTGTTTTCAAGTTCGACTACTCACTAAAATTTATTTAGAAACCCAAAATCAAGTTCATGCAGCATTCATACCCATATGCAGAGTGGCAAAAAATTTAACTTGCTTGACACATTTTCAGATGAAGTTACACAAGGCTACACTCAGCCTTATTGTTTCACCTTGCATACTAAAAACGTGCTTTTCACTATATATATATATAGTGTTTCATATTTTCATGCTTTTTATTGGTGATTTTGCTGTTTTAAATGCCCCCTCTCCCAGCATAGTGCTGAAGTGCTGTCTGGTATTCATTGCTAAGCACAGGAAGGCTATGTGTGCTGTGTCTTGTGGAGAAAACACATGTCCTACATAAGCTGCCTTCAGGCTTATTATCACTAGTGCTCTTGGCCATGAGTTCAGTGTTAATAAATCAATATATGTTAAATAAAGTCTCTAAACAGAAACATAAAACAAGATTATTTCCTGATTGGTTGACAAAAATGTGACTAGAGTCAGGTACCTAATCCTGTATTTCCCCTAGGAGCAGTTCAGTGTTTATTGTGACTTTAATAGAACATTACCTCAAATAATGAGAATTGACTATTTACACATTTAAATGTTACACCCATTTTTAAAAACTCATTGCCTACCTTAGATTTCCATTATCTGTTGTTTTAAATCCTCTTTTCAAATACCTTCAATTCTCTCTTCCTCCATTTTTACCTAAACCCTGGTTAATTCACTGTATGCTTGCTTCAGAACACTTAAACTTGGCTGGAGAAAAACACGCAATCATGCTAACTCCGAAGTGAGCTTCTTGTGTTTTCACCGCCTCAGACTAATTTCCCTAATCCATTTATCCTGCCCTCTTCGGCTGCTGACTACAAGTCCTCAATCATAAGTCATTATCTCGCTTATCTCTCTAGAAAATAGAAGAAATAACAGTCCTGCCTCCTCACACTTGCACCTACCAATCTTCCTACATCTGAATACAGTGCTACACTCTACAGTAACGGTAAACTGTCAAATTTCCTAAGACCAGACTTGCCACTTTTGCATCGAGTTCCATTTTACTTTGGAATTGTCTGCTCTCCTTGTGAATTTTTTCTCTCTGAACTGGATCACTTCTGTCAACTTATAAATGTGTTTTAATAGTTACCATTTGTTTAAAAACAAAAACAAAAACAAACCCTTGACCCGTATCTCCCTCCACATGTTACCCCATTGCTGTCATCTGCTCTCCTCTACAGAAAAACTTCACCTCCACTTCTCCTACACCCTCTTGAACCCACACTCCATTGAAACTGCACAAGATCAGCAATAGCCTTTCCTCTTGCTTCTCTTCCTATTTCTTAGTCTCCTTGCTGGTTCCTCCTCATTTCCCAGCCTCTAAATGCTAGAGTGCTCTAGAATTCAAATCTCACGACTTGGACTGCTTCTCCTCTCTCTGTTCTCTCTCACTAGGCAATCCCATCCAGATCTTTGGTTAAATGAAATCCCCATTTGAATCTCTAGCCCACACCTTTATCCTAAACACTAGCATCACACACTTAATATATCCAAAACCAAGCTCTTAATTTTTCCCCTCAAACCAATCGTTCAGGTCTTTCCTCTAAGGACTATATATGATGGTACCTGACCACCCTTTCTCCTTTACCCTGCTCTATTTTTCTTATACAGTTTGATACATAATATGTTACATATTTTGTCTATTGGTTATCTCCCACTAGAATGAAAGTTCTTTGTTAACCTGCCATTTGGCCCAGTGATCCCACTTCTAGGAATATAGCTTAGGAATCCTGAACAGAAAGAATATATGCACCCCTATGCTCATAGCAGCGCAATTTACAATAGCTAAGATCTGGAAACAGCCCAAGTGCCCATCAGTAGATGAGTGGATAAAAAAGCTGTGACACATTTACACCATGAAATACTATGCAGCTGTAAAGAGGAAAGATCTTTGGCACAGCATGGCGGGAACTAGAAAGTATTATGCTAAGTGAAATAAGCCAGTCGGAGGAAAATAAGTACCACATGATCTCACTTATATGTGAAATATAATAAACAGAATAAACTGGTGAACAAAGTGGATCCAGAGACATAGAAGCATGAAACAAACTGAGAGATCTCAGAGGAGGGGGGCATGTGGGTAGGGAGAGATTAATCAAAGAACTTACATGTTATAAGCATAACCCATGGACACAGAAATTGGTATGGAGAAAGTCGGGGGGGTGGGATGGATGTGAGGTCGAAGGGATCAGTGGGGATAAAAAAGGGACATCTGTAATATTCTCAACAATAACGATAAAGGAACTTTAAATAAATAAGAAAGTTCTTTGTTACATATCATTTAAATATTTGTTGAATGATAGAATATTTGCCTATAAAAATATATACAAAGAAGATAGCAAAGTATTGTAATTATTATGAGAAAAAGGTGTATGGTTCTGTTTCTGTTTTTTTCCTAAAAGAATTATAAATCCAACCCTGCTGTCACAAATACAATGGGGAAAGTTGGATTATTCCTAATATGGATAAAATATTATATTGTAACATAACATTTGAAAAAGTACATACATTTGCATGTATAGCATCTTAAGGCTACTGTTTTTATTTCTCTCTAAAGAGTGAATTCAAGTTTGTAAATGAGCAAAAGACCCATATTTCTACCAATAGATTAACACATATCAACCAATAGTGCAGGAGAACTTTTAGCCCATAGTCTATAGGTGATCCTGATTTCAGTGTTGGAGGAAGAATCAAAAAGTGAAGTCCTCAATCTCTAGTTGTAAAAGGGCCTTAGAAAGGTTATGCTGGAATTTCAAAAGGGTCACAAAATAAGGCTGTATTCCCTGAAAATTTTACGTCCTTTTTTTATTTTTGTATCTTTTTTCCTTGCCCTTGCCTTCCCCTCAAACTCGACATAGTATAGTGTTTAAAATCATGAGTTTTGGAATCAGAATGACATAATGTAGAGCTTTAGCTACATCATTGACTAGCAGATCACTAAAATCTCAGAAATTTTGCTCCCTCATATCTAAAATTGGCTTGATAGTATATAGGTCTGTCTGTAAATAGTAAATTATAAGTTTAGCACCTGGCACCTGTGTATCATGTCTTAGGATCATAGTATTAAGCAAATTCACTTGGTCTCTGCTCTTATGGAGTTTATTTTTTAACTACAATACGTGACTGAAAAGAGACCCTCATTCTCAGATTTATAATGTGAAGCTTTCATTCACTATGTGGGGAAAAAAATAGGAAAACTACAACAAAAATCACTGTTTACAAAAGGGGAATAAAAACCTCCAGGACAGCACCATATCAATATAAAGTGCAGCCAAGATTGAGAACTATACACTAAACCAATGATTTTCAACTGGTGTGCCACAAGAATTTGAAAACATGCAATACCTGACTCTTTAGTCAGGGGCACTGACCTGTTTTCTCTTAGATTGTCAAATTAAAAAATGACACCAGCCAACACAACAATACTCATCTGTTGTGAATGAATTAGTATTATATCTGGGGGTGGCTGGAGGTGGAAGTAGGTATAGGGGGGATAAATGGTGATAGAAAAAAATTAAAAATAAAATTACATTTTTTTTGGTCAGATTGGCAAAAAATATAGTACATTTTTTGGTGTGCCACAGAATTTTAGTAATTAGTTTATGTGTGCAATGAGATGAAAAAGGTTGAAAATCACTGCCCTAAACCCTTTTCCTCTGTCTGGCAAAACTTTGGCCAGAATTAACTCCACTATTGACTTTTTTAGTACTTCTGAGCAGCTACACGCTGCTGAAGACTGTTTAACAATAGAACGGATAAATTCCACTAAAATCTCATGATCACCCAAATCAAATGAACCCTTAGTACAGCCCAGCAATCTTGCATTTTTCTGTTCAACTTTCCCATCACTCCAGCAAGTTTTTCAAATATCCACTCTTATTGAACCTATCCCCCTTATTTTACTGCTTCCCCTTTACTGTCAGCAGGTAACTTCTCCTAAACTAAAGCCACCAAATGGAAATTTCTTCCTGCTTCCAAATATGCAGATCTACTTATACTCAACTTATCCTCTTTATTTGCTCAACAATTTATTGAGTACCCAGTATGTACTAAGGATACATTAATGAACAATACAAAAAAATCTCTACCCTCCTGGAGCTTATATACTAGTGGGAAAAGACAGGCACAATATACATAAGTGATGTGGTAGTAATTTAGAAAGTAGTAAGTGCTGTGGAGAATAGAGGGTGACAGGAAATATCAGATTAAGGAGTAATATTTTAAATAACATGGTCATTAAGCAAGGGACATTTGAGCAAAGACCTGAAATGTGATGAAGGAGCAAGCTATGTGAATGTCTGGAGAGGAGGGTCCCTTGCAAAGGGAACAGTAAAAGCAAATGTCATGAGGCAGGAGTGTGCTGGTATGCTCAAGAATAATGAGAGCTATATGGGTGAAATGTAGTGACTGAGGGGGAAAGTAATAGGAAATGAGGTCAGATAGGTTAAAAGAGAGGGAGGGGAAGCAAATTATGAAGGCTAAATAGGCTGTTATAAGAAGGTTGGAATTTAATCTGAGATGAGAAACCATGGAATTATGAGTAGAAAAGTGACACTGGCTACTGTGGTTGAGTAGTCTACATGACAAGGAAGGAAGCAGGGAAACTGGAATACATCTGTGTTGTCCTGTAAGGCTATTTCCTTCACATATGCTTTTCTTCTACCCCTTCAATTACTTTACACTATCAGTTTTCCTTTGTGTACTCAAACTCTGCCTTTCACCTGGATCATTTTCATTTGTTTTTAAGCATATCTGAATCCTGTGACCAAAGAAAAAAGAAAAACCTTCTTTGCCCAGCTGACGTGGCTCAGCAGTTGAGCATCAACCTATGATCCAGGAGATCGCGGTTGGATTCCCTGTCAGGGCACATGCCCTGGTTGTCGGCTCGATCCCCAGAGCGGGGTGTGGAGGAGGCAGCTGATCAATGACTTTCTCATCATTGATGTTTCTATCTCTCCCCCTTTCCCTTCTTCTCTGTGACATCAATAAAGATATATTTAAAAAACAAACAAAAAAAACACCTTCCTTGACCCCAATTACTTGCTGTCACGTTCCTCACTTCAGCCAAATTCCAGTAAGACTCGTCTCTGACAACTCCCTGGTTTCATTCTTCACTCCTCTATTCATATTTTGTCAAAATATGTGTTCCTAAGGCAGTACTTCTTCAGTAAGTAGTACTGATTCTCCACGGAGCATTTGGAAATGTATGGCAGTGTATTTTTGGTTTTGACTTGTATAATTTTGATTATAACAAGGGTGAGGTATGCAACTGGTGTTTAGTTGTCAAAGGTCAGATATACCTAACATGCTGCAATGTGTAGGACAGTCCCCCACATTTAAGAATTGTCCTGATCAAAATACCAATTTCACCCCATTGAGAAATAATCTTAACGCCACTCTTTGACTTCTATGTATATTCACTGAATATTTTTCAGTCTTTTTCCTCTTGATCTTAGAATATTTGACACCAATAGCTACTCTCTTTGTATTACCCTTCTCCCTTGGTTTCTATAATACATCACATTCCTTGTTTATATCCTACCTCTCTGACAGCTACTCTCATTTCTTTTTATAGACCCATCTTCCTCTACTCCACTACCAAATGTTGAGGTTCTTCAAGATCAGTCACTTGAAGATGATGTCAACAAAAATTGCGAGTAGGGAACTCCAAGGATATGTCCCTCTACATAAAGAGCATATAAATTGCAAATATTATTAGAATCAAGTTTATGTGAACTCTGGAAGCTAATCAAACATTACAGTAACCAGACAGACAATCAAGAAAAAGGTTGTTGAACCTCAGGAGCTTTGTGTCATTTAAACTTACTGTGGCCCCATTTCCTTATCCCCAGTTCATTGACAGCAGTTTTGAAGACAGCAGCCTACATTTCTGGCATAGATGCCTGGTGCCCGAGAGAGCAGAATGGACCTTGTCCTCAAAGAATTGTGGTAGTTTGTTTTGACAAGCCTGTCTGTCTGTCTCTTTCTCCTCCCCCTCCACTCTGAAAAGCAATGGGAAAAAAATATCCTTGAGTGAGGATTAAAATATATCACTGTGTCATCTACTTAGAAGTTTTCAATGGCTCCCTTTATCACTCATAGTGAAACCTACAGTCATAACATTGGTATACAAAAGCCTTTCTCCCCTTCCTCTCTGACCTCATCTCCAATTCTCTGCCCTTGCTTGCTCCAATGGCCTCCTTGTCCTTCAGATGATCTGGGATACTACTACTTGAGGGTTTTTGCACAAGATGTTTATTCTGCATTCTTCTATATATCCACTTGGCTTAACTTCCTTATTTCCTTTAAGTTCTTGCTCAATTTTTACTTTCTCCGGGCAGCCTAATTTGATCACCATATTTAAAATTGAAGCCCTTCCACATGTACTCATGAATCCCCTTTCTCTGCTTTGTTTTTATTTTGCCTATAAAACTTGTGACCTTCTAGCATGCTGTATAATTTACTTAATTATTTTTATTGCCTGTTACCCACTAATGTAAGTTCCACAAGCGTAGGAACCATTGTCTCTTGCTCACTGATATATCCCAAGTATGTGACTCATAGTTGGTGCTCAATAAGTATTTGTTGAAGAATGAATAAATGAATTAAAAAACCTTAACAACTTACTAATTGTTAAAACACTTGTGGATGAAAAGGAGATATATAACAGTTCACTGACCAAGAGTAACTTCACAAGGTGATCTGATCATTAATTCCTAACTGGGAAGGTCATGGTGGGTAGTCACACCCCAGGCCTGTAACTTTAGTAAAAGGTTTTTAAGCAAGCCCTGCCTATCGTTCTTGTGCATCTAGGTTAACACACCTTGAAATGCCATAAGTAATTCTCTTTTCCAGACACCTCAAAGGCATAACCACCCTCACGGGTGCACGTAATCTTAACTATCCTGTACCTTGCTTTCTCCCACCTTCATGTAATTTTCTTTGCTCCATCCTTAATCCCAAATGTATAAAAGAAACTGCAAAACTGTTATTCCCTGGAACATTTGAAATCTTGCTTCCCAGTATTGTTGTCAGTTTGTCTCAAATAAACTCTTCTAAAAATTATTTACAGGTTTGGATGTTTCTTATATTGACACATTGTACTACACACTTACTGGATCTTAGCACAAAGTTGAGATTACAAATTGGAAGACTAGAGCACTTCATGTGAAAATACCTGGTGTCAATCTAAGAAATTAGGATTAAATGAAATTAGGAATACAGAGAATAATAATACCATACCTTAAAATTTACTATAAAGCTAAAGTAATTTAAAATGTGTATTATGGATATTGTAAGAGATAAATACTCTATGGAATTCATTAAACAGTACAAAAATCCATGTGGTTATAACAAATCAGTGTGTTTTAAAAAGTTGGTGGAATAATTAAGAAAGGATGTTGAAATAACTGGCTACCAGTTCTGAAGAAAAAATTAGATTCCCTCTTTACATCTTACTTAAAAATAAATTCTTAGTGAATTACATCTCTAAATAAAAATTGAAGAGTAAAATACTAAAACTTTAAAATAGTTTTGATCTAGAAGTATCAGGATATGAAACAAAGAAGCCATGGAGAAAAAGACCCATAGATTTGAAAAACACATTTAAAACTTCTTCATGATGAAAAATGCACAACAAAGTTAAAAAATAAATTATGGCCCAACCAGCATGGCTCAGCATTTGAGCATCAACTTATGATCCAGGAGATTGTGGTTCAATTTCCGGTCACGGCACATGCCGGAGTTGTGGGCTCGATCACCAGTGGGGGGTGTGCAGGAGGCAGCCAATCAATGACTCGCTCAACATTGATGTCTCTCTCTCTCTCTCTCTCCCTCTCCCTTCCTCTTTCTCTGAAATCAATAAAAATATATTTTAAAAGTATATAAATAAATTAAGGATTTGGGGGAAATAATTACAATATATTTTAAAAATCAAGACATTTTTATATATACTATACAAAGACTTCCTAAAATCAATAAAAAAGCTAACAACAGACAATTGTATAAAATATATTAAAAGATGAGTCAGAAGAAGAAATACAAGTGGCTGATAAACATACCAAAAATGTTCAACTGAATATATAAACTAAGAAATAATTAAAATAAATGGCCTTCCAGTTCAAAACTAGGCTGAGCACCTACATGTACCTCTTTCAAGATCCATTTTGTTTTCTTAATTTTATAGTTACATTACCCTTATGTTTACCTTATTATTATTTTCATTTTGCAGATAAGAAAGCTAGGGCACAAAGTAAAATTAGTTGGCCAAAGTCACAAAATAAAAGTAGCAGAGCTGGGGCAGTTTGGCTCTAGGAACTCCCCTCTAAACCAGTATAATATGCTACCTCTAAATGAATTAAAGCAAAGTTTTCAGATATGATCTGGGAATAGTTAAGACCCTTTCAAAAGATCTTTGAAATCAAAACTTTTCATAATAATAAAACATTTTATTTTTTCACTGAATAATAATGTACAGTGCAGTTTTCATGAAGCCACATGATGTGTGATGTTTTCCAAAGACTGGATGCAGAAACAGATAAGAGATTACAGCTAAGTTTCATTAAGCCAATGATTAAAGAGATTTACCAAAATAAAGTCCCTCTTGTTCTGAAAAATAGTTATTTTTCATAAGAATATCTTTGTTAACATATTTATTTTAAATAATATTTTTTAAGTTTCTCAGTTTTAATTTTTAATATAGTAAATATCAATAGATAAAACCCATACAACTCTGGAGTCCTCAATAATTTTTAAGGATGTAAAGGGATCCTGACACCACTGAGCTTGAGAACTACTGAATTAAAGAATTACCTTCAGAGAACTGACAGCTGGGTCAACTGGGTCTTCATCCCCTTTTTCCCTTTCCTTCACATATACAGACATACCCTGAGGGAATCTATGGCTTTTTCTGCCAAGAACAAAATCTCAAAAACTGTTCTCTAGGCTACAGCAGTGTTTCCCAAAGTAGAGTATGGAAAAACCAGTTTCGAGGCAGTGTGCCACCTTCAGCCTATTTCTACTCCCTAGGCACACACCTGTGCACTATCCGTTGAACAGCATGCCCTGTTTGATAAATAGCTTTGTCCAGCAGCATGCTGGCAGATGTAAGTGGGCTCCCTGTTAGAGAGAGGGCATGCTTATCTAGGGCCACCAGCAAGGATTGTCCTAGATGACAAAAAAAGTAACTGATGTTTGTAATCTGCTATAGCTGGAAGTTCACCTGATTCTGGTTTTCCACTTACTATATTGATTTTAAAGTTTAATATTAAGATTAATTTTTAAATTGAGTTGACTTAAAGAAAATTATTTTAAAATGTTACATATTATGCGAATATGGCAAAAATTGAGTGAGCGAAGTTTGAGAAACACTGCTCTAAAGGAAATTATTGATCTATCTGGGGTGGGCTTTGATATTGTTGTTGAGTTCAGAGAAAAATAGGGCAAAACTTGAGTTAACTCCATATCCCAACATTAAGGGGAGTAAAAAAACAAAACACTGTGCCTAAGGGTGATGGATCAAACCCTTTTTCTTTGACATTTGTGGGGTGTTTCTAGCTTTAACCTATTCCTTCTTCCAATTAAACATGAAACCTGCTTGTTAGTATATTTCATTCACTTATACAAATCTTGTGTCTATCCCCATGAGTCTTCTGCTACTTACCCATCACTTAGGATTTAATAACCCCTTAAAACATATGAGATCATATATCTGATAAGATGTTGATATCCAAAGTATATAAAGAACTCCCTACCACTCAACAGGAACAAAAGAATAAACATTAAAAAATAGGCAAAGATCTGAATAGACATTTCTCCAAATAAGATAGACAAAAAGCCAATAAGTACATGAAAACGTGCTCAGCATCACTAATCATTAGGGAAGTGCAAATCAAAAACGCAATGAGATACTATATTTCACACTCACTAGGATGGCTATTACTAAACAAAGAAAAAAAAGTTATGAAGACATAAAGAAACTGGAATCCTTGTGCATTGCTGCTGGGAATGTAAAATGGTGCAGCTACTACATAGAACAGTATTGAGATTCCTCAAAAAATTAAAAATAGAATCACCATATGATCCAGCAACTCCACTTCTGGATATATACCCAAAAGAAAGCAGGGGCTCAAACTGATAGCCAAAAGGTGGAAGCAGTCCAAGTTTCCATTGACACAAATAGGTAAACGAAATATAGTATATACATACAATGAAATATTCAGCCTTGCAAAGGAAGGAAATTCTGATTCAAGCTACAACATGGGTGAACCTTGAAGACATTATGCTAAGTGAAATAAAACATATAAAAGGATAAATGCTGTATAATTCTGTTTAGATGAGTTGCCAGTTATAGTTAAATTCATAGAGACAGAAAGTAGAATATAGGTTACTAGGGTCTGAGGGAGGAGAGGGGGTAAGGGAGAGTTCTTTAATGGCACACAGTTTCGGACGGGATGCTGCAAGGTGGATGGCGGCGATGGCTGCACAGCAATGTGAACGTGCTTAGTACCATAAAACTGTACACTTAAAATAGTTTGAATGGTAAAATTTGTTACATATATTTTACCACAATTTGTAAAAACCACTGTGTGAGAATTTATTATCCAGATAAAGTAGCATCTAACCATAATACTATATATCTCATGTGAAATGGATAATCGGATGACCCCGTAATGCTAACCAATCCCTGCTCACAAAACCACAATTATAAATGTAATCTGCATGGCATGGTCTACTTGTACCTATGTTCATTTACTCACAGTTTAAAATTTTAGACTGATGGAATATTGTTTCTGGGTCCCCATTTTAGTCTTTTCTTTTGCAACCCCGGCAATATTACAATAGAGCAGGCTGGATCCAAAGGAAGCCCTCTGTTCTGCCAGGAAGTTACCCTAAAACAGAAGGACCAGTTATTCAATATAATATATGAGGCAACTTCACTTTTTCGGGGAGTTCAAGTGCTACAATAACAGTTACTCAGGCCTTACCTATTCAGATCCCTGGTTTATCCAGATAGTTTTACAATGCAAACTTTCTTCTACATAATTATTTTTTGCAAAACAGCACAAAAACCTTAAAATGGTAAGCAACTTTTTAAAATAGAAAAGCCAATTCCTTTTATGAAAAATGTTCATTATTTTATCTACTTTTTACCAAGCTACTGCACTTTTTTCTTGTGAATAAATGTTTTATTCCTTTTATAATGTTAGAAACTACATAAACTGGCAGCATTTCTCAAAAAAAAAGAGAGCTATCACTGCCTCAAAGATTTCTGTATTGTCCTTGAGCTATTATTATCTGTCTTTGAATCAAAGTGGACGGAAAGCCTCCAAGTGGTTTCTTAGGACCCTTTTATTCTCCTAAATTTTAGAAAGATTACACCCATTTGGGGTTCTTTGTGAAAGTAAAATTTGCTAGTGAGTAGAGTGTGATGCAGAACCCTAGAGGTTTCTAATATTTTTTGCAATTATTTCTTGTTGGGGTAGCGTTTCCCTGGATCCTGCAGCTAGCAATCATTACCCCAGTCAACACTCTCCTGACGGACCCTAATGCTCCATCAGTACATCATAGGATCTAATTCTGTAAAACCTTCCAAACATGCACATCTAAGCAGTTTGTTCAGTTTAAATTCCTGGGAGATAGATCGAGGGAGGGCTATTGTTTAATCCAATTTAGGATAGAATTACCAGGTACCAAGTTTTTCATGCCATGTTTGAAGGAAATTTTTGATAATTCCATGCATGTAATTGTCCAAGATTTCTTGATTAAGCCTCATTATCATTTGGGGATAATATAACTTCTGTACAAATATGCTTTTAGTTCACTATTGGCCTGCATTATGCACTTTTAGGCCACTGCATTAAATGCATTGCAGCAGGGGGCATCCATGTTTTTGCAGCCCGACCCAGTAGGGCCATATGACTCCATCGACATGGCTCCAAACTTATGTTAGAGTTGTCTGCTTGCCAGGTGGTATGCAACTGTGTGGTAGTTCTGAATTCTTTCCTTTTAAAATGTTGTTTTCTATTTGGCTTTCATTCTTTCTTGCATCACAAAATATACTTACA